GCTGGGCATGGTGGCACGTGCCTGTAATCCCAGCTACTCAGGAGGCTGAGGCAGGAGAATTGCCTGAACCCAGGAGGCGGAGGTTGCGGTGAGCCGAGATCGCGCCATTGCACTCCAGCCTGGGTAACAAGAGCAAAACTCTGTCTCCAAAAAAAAAAAAAAAAAAAATGAAAACTTTGCTGGGCACAGTGGCTCATGCCTGTAATCCCAGCACTTTGGAAAGCCAAAGTGGGTGGATCACCTGAGGTCAGGAGTTCGAGACCAGCCTGACCAACATGGAGAAACCCCATCTGTACTAAAAATACAAAATTGGCTGGGCATGGTGACATATGTCTGTAATCCCAGCTATTCGGGAGGCTGAGGCAGAACTGCTTGAACCCGGGAGGCGGAGGTTCCAGTGAGTTTGAGCTATTGTACTCTAGCCTGGGCAACTAGAGTGAAACTCCGTCTCAACAAAACAAAAAACAAAACAAAGCAAAAACTTTCCAAGGACTCCTTTTCTTCTCTATCTGCCTAAAATAATTTCTTAGTAACTCCTACAATATTTTCCCCTGTGGAGATGCCACACTAACTGCTGTTAGGGAGTTTGAGTGGTGACACTTTCTGGCTACTTCCTGCTGAAAAGGGGCGTCAAATGGGGAACAGCAGCTGGGGCTCCTCCTGGCATCGATCTTAGGGTCCTTGGAAGAATGGCATGTCCATGTGTGGTTCAGTTTACAGCACCATTGGGAGTTTGATTATTTGTAGGTGAGAAGAAATAATTTGAGTTATAGTATTAAGTATACAGGGTCCAAATATCAAAACAAGCCATAAATAAGAGACGGCTGCTGGGCGCGGTGGCTCAAGCCTGTAATCCCAGCACTTTGGGAGGCCGAGGCGGGTGGATCACAAGGTCAAGGGATCGAGACCATCCTGGTCAACATGGTGAAACCCCGTCTCTACTAAAAATACAAAAAATTAGCTGGGCATGGTGGCACGTGCCTGTAATCCCAGCTACTCAGGAGGCTGAGGCCGGAGAATTGCCTGAACCCAGGAGGCGGAGGTTGCGGTGAGCCGAGATCGCGCCATTGCACTCCAGCCTGGGTAACAAGAGCGAAAACTCCGTCTCAAAAAAAAAAAAAAAAAAAAAAAGAGACGGCTTAAAAAAGGGGTTAACCAATTCAATAAGGAAGACTGGAATTCATTAAAAAGGCCTTGTAAAGCCAGGCGCAGTGGCTCAAGCCTGTAATCTCAGCACTTTGGGAGGCCGAGGCAGGTGGATCACAAGGTCAAGGGATCGAGACCATCCTGGTCAACATGGTGAAACCTGTCTCTACTAAAAATACAAAAAATTAGCTGGGCATGGTGGCACGTGCCTGTAATCCCAGCTACTCAGGAGGCTGAGGCAGGAGAATTGCCTGAACCCAGGAGGCGGAGGTTGCAGTGAGCTGAGATTGCACCGTCACTGTACTCCAGCCTGGCAACTGAGTGAGACTGTCTCAAAAAAAATAAATAAATAAAAAGCAAGAAACAAAAACTGTATCACTAAACCCAACAAAAATCCTAAAAGACTGAGTGATAGTAAAACCATCATGTTTCCTTTTTGTCCATAACTAATATCCCTGCTATAAGTACTAATTATGCAAAATACGACAGCAATTTCAGTTAGAAAGTGCGACCATGTAGAATCCTATGGCGAATAGTAGAATGAGGACAGCAGTTCCCACAGGTGTGGTGTGGTAGATAATTTCCATCTAAAATTTAACCTGCCAAGATAGAGAATTCACCTTGCAGGGCTATGAAGTTCCTTGGTTTTATTTTCCCAGACAAAGACACCTCCAGGTTATGGACACTTTATTCACTTTCATTGCCTGGCGGAATTTAAACAGATTGAAGGCATTATATTCAGGTGCTACTTTTGTGGCACCGATAATTTTACTTATAACAATCTTGGTGACCCATAGGGAGACCCCATCCCCTTCAGGGCGGTCTCTGGTTCTCTCTCCTGAGGAGGAAGGGCTCCCCTGCAACCTGCCTCACTGCAGCGGCCTCCTGAGTGAAGACCCATGCGAGGAATAAGCCCATACTTTTGTTTGTTTGTTTGTTTGTTTGTTTGAAATGGAGTTTCGCCCTTGTTACCCAGGCTGGAGTGCAATGGCGCGATCTTGGCTCACCGCAACCTCCGCCTCCTGGGTTCAGCCAATTCTCTTGCCTCAGCCTCCTGAGTAGCTGGGATTACAGGCACGTGCCACCATGCCCAGCTAATTTTTCGTATTTTTAGTAGAGACGGGGTTTCACCATGTTGGCCAGGATGGTTTCGATCTCTTGACCTCGTGATCCACCCGCCTCGGCCTCCCAAAGTGCTGGGATTACAGGCTTGAGCCACCGTGCCCCGCCCAGCCCATACTCTTAACAACGTGGAGACTAGGCTGCAACCTAAGGTAAAGGATCCTGACCAGGCACTGTGGCTCACGCTTGTAATCCTAGCACTTTAGGAGGCTGAGGTGGGCGGATCACCTGAGGTCAGGAGTTCAAGATCAGCCTGGCCATCATGGTGAAACCCCATCTTAAAAATAAATAATAAATAAATAAATAAAATTAATTAAAAAAAGAAAAAAAAAAGGATCCTTACATACCTCGGCAACCATTCAAAGCTGTGCACAGAATGAATGGTCCGAGCTGTCCTCTGTCAACGGACAAGCCCAGAAGCCTTCTTTGAAACAGGATTGGGTACAACAGAGTTTAAGAAATCCAAAGTATTTCCTTTGGTCTGTCCCAAAGTATTTCCTTTGGGAAATACTTTGGGACAGACCAAGATAAGAGAAGCCATGGGGGCGGGGAGTGATACCTTTGTTGGGACGTACCAAGGTAAGAGAAGCCACAGGGGTGGGGGTGGGGGTGAAGTATTTATTGGTCAGGGTGTCTGTAGGGCTAAAAAGAAAAAAGAAAAATACTGCCGGGCGCGGTGGCTCAAGCCTGTAATCCCAGCACTTTGGGAGGCCGAGGCGGTTGGATCACGAGGTCAAGGGATCGAGACCATCCTGGTCAACATGGTGAAACCCCGTCTCTACTAAAAATACAAAAAATTAGCTGGGCATGGTGGCGTGTGCCTGTAATCCCAGCTACTCAGGAGGCTGAGGCAGGAGAATTGCCTGAACCCAGGAGGCGGAGGTTGCGGTGAGCCAAGATCGCTCCATTGCACTCCAGCCTGGGTAACAAGAGCGAAAACTCCGTCTCAAAAAAAAAAAAAAAAAAAAAAAAAGGCAGTACATTTCCAGCAAGGGAAATTGAACCTCACCCCAAAGGGCAAGACATTTCCAGTAAGGGAAATTGAGCCTTACCTCCAAAATGGGAAATACCCCAAGTGGGGTAAGGGATAAAAAGATAAAGCTAGCAATGATAATTTTCCCCTTAATAATCCCCTAGGCCTAATGTTAAAATATTAGAAGAATAATAATGGGATCAAAAACAAACAAAAAAAGCAGCTGCTGTCCCAGACCCTTCTCCTGTCCTTCACCCTCCTTGCAACTCTGCCTCTTGGGAATCGTCCCAAGGGCCCACTCACTACCTGCCTGAGTACCCTTCCCTAAAAGGACTTCAACACAAGATAGAGCAATGTAAAACAAACCAAAAAAAAAGATATTCAGAACTTCCCTTTCCCATCTTCTTCTCAGGGGAAGAAAAGAGGTAGGATCTGTAGAGCTGCTATGGGAGCCTAGGAACCTGAACAACTCCCCACCCCCCGAAACCTTCCTACAGAGGATCAAAAGACCCCGTGGGACAATAGCAGCACAGCCCACCGAGAAAACATGCAGGAAGATATGCTGGTCTAGGTCTTGAGGATCCTCTTGGGCAGGGAATGTTGAAACGTAATTTTGTCACTAACAATTGGCCAAATATTCACAAGAAATTACAAAAAATATATATATAGAGAGAGAACTAGAAAGATAAACCTGTAAAAGCTTCTAAAAGCAAGAGAAAAAAAAATCCTAGAGGAGAGAGAAAGACTGACGGAGGGAACAGAGGAAGTCAGAGAAAGAGAGAGAGACAAAGAGTCAAAGAGAGGGAGAAAGGAAGAGACAGAAGTAGGAAAGAGAAAGCAATGGGCCCTATTCTTTTAAAAGCCAGGGTACTGTAATCCCAGCACTTTGGGAGGCCGAGGCGGGTGGATCACGAGGTCAAGAGATCGAGACCATCCTGGTCAACATGGTGAAACCCCGTCTCTACTAAAAATGCAAAAAACTGGCTGGGCATGGTGACACGTGCCTGTAATCCCAGCTACTCAGGAGGCTGAGGCAGGAGAATTGCCTGAACCCAGGAGGCGGAGGTTGCGGTGAGCCGAGATTACGCCATTGCACTCCAGCCTGGGTAACAAGAGCGAAACTCTGTCTCAAAAAAAAAAAAAAAAAAAAGCCAGGGTAAATTTAAAACCTATAAATGATCATTGAAGGTCTTCTCGGTGTTGGATTTCTTAAACTCTGTTGTACCCAATCCTGTTTCAAAGAAGGCTTCTGGGCTTGTCCGTTGACAGAGGACAGCTCGGACCCATTTGCCTTTGAGTGAGAAGATCCTCACTCCGGTCGAAAATAACAATACTGATGGACAGTCTCACCCCAAGGGTTTAGAGAGTCTCCAAATTTTATTTAGTCAAATATTAGAACAAGTCATTTAATTAGCAAAAGTAAACGGAAAATGAAGCTGAAACAGATTGAAGGCATTATATTCTTGCCTCTGCCGAAGTCTAAACAGGAACTTAGAAAATTTTAGGATTAGTCTATGGATACTGTCTATGGATAGATTCTTACACCCTAAAGATAAAGCCCTTATACAAAAAGGGCACTCAAGACAGGCTAAACCCCCTCATTTGGCAATTACCAGAAATCCAACAGGTGGAAAGTTTACCTCCTTAAGCAGCCATTCCAACTTTTTGTCAGTGTAAACAAGGGCGTTAGAAATACTTGTCCAAAGGCACGGAGGCCGCTGACAACCAGTAGCCTTCCTATCAAAAATCCTGGCTCTCCGCCACCATGACTGAGCAGATGACCCTTCGTGGCACCCTCAAGGGCCACAACGGCTGGGTAAAACAGATCGATACTACTCCTCAGTTCCCGGACATGATCCTATCTGCCTCTTGAGACAAGACCATCATCATGTGGAAACTCACCAGGGATGAGACCAACTATGGAATTCCACAGCGTGCTCTGCAAAGTCACTCCCACTTTGTTAGTGATGTGGTTATCTCCTCAGATGGCCAGTTTGCCCTCTCAGGCTCCTGGGATGGAACCCTGTGCCTCTGGGATCTCACAATGAGCACCACCACAAGACGATTTGTGGGCCATACCAAGAATGTGCCGAGTGTGGCCTTCTCCTCTGACAACCGGCAGATTGTCTCTGGATCTCGAGATAAAACCATCAAGCTGTGGAATACCCTGGGTGTGTACAAATACACTGTCCAGGATGAGAGCCACTCAGAGTGGGTGTCTTGTGTCTGCTTCTTGCCCAACAGCAGCAACCCTATCATTATCTCCTGCGGCTGGGATAAGCTGGTCAAGGTATGGAACCTGGCTAACTGTAAGCTGAAGACCAACCACGTTGGCCACATAGGCTATCTGAACACAGTGACTGTCTCTCCAGATGGATCCCTCTGTGCTTCTGGAGGCAAGGATGGCCAGGCCATGTTATGGGATCTCAACGAAGGGAAGCACCTTTACACCCTAGATGGTGGGGACATCATCAATGCCCTATGCTTCAGCCCTAACCGCTACTGGCTCTGTGCTGCCACAGGCCCCAGCATCAAGATTTGGGATTTAGAGGGAAAGATCATTGTAGACTAACTGAAGCAGGAAGTTATCAGCACCAGCAGCTAGGCAGAACCACCCCAGTGCACCTCCCTGGCCTGGTCTGCTGATGGCCAGACTCTGTTTGCTGGCTACAGACAACCTGGTGCGAGTGTGGCGGGTGACTATCAGCACCCGCTAGAAGTTTGTGGCAGAGCTTTACAAATTAAAGAAAAAAACTGTTTTTTTACTTAAAAAAAAAAAAAAAATCCTTAACCCAGTAACCCTCAGATGGCCCAAAAGCATTGTGGGATGACACTTTATTATAAAGTCGGCTAAAAGTTAATAATGTAACATGTATTATCCTAACTTCTAATCATGAAAGAAAGTTGCTTTCTTTGTTCTCTAATCTTACCACAAAAAAAAAAAAAAAAAAAGTTTGCTTTGGAAAAGAACAATTATCATCTTTGACAAAAAAAAAAAAAAAAAAGGAGAATTTATGTAAAAAGAATCTTTTATGGCCAGGCGTGGTGGCTCAAGCCTGTAATCCCAGCACTTTGGCAGTCCGAGGCAGGTGGATCACGAGGTCAAGAGATCGACACCATCCCGGTCAACATGGTGAAACCCCGTCTCTACTAAAAATACAAAAAATTAGCTGGGCATGGTGGCGCATGCCTGTAATCCCAGCTACTCAGGAGGCCGAGGCAGGAGAATTGCCTGAACCCAGAAGGCGGAGGTTGCGGTGAGCCGAGATCGCGCCACTGCACTCCAGCCTGGGTGACACAAGTGAAACTCCGTCTCAAAAAAAAAAAAATCTTTTATGAGCTGGGCACAGTGGCTCACGCCTGTAACCTCAGCACTTTGGGAGGACGAGGCAGGCGAATCACAAGGCCAGGAGTTTGAGACCAGCCTAACACGGTGAAACCCCGTCTCTACTAAAAATACAACAATTAGGCAGGCGTGGTGGAGCACACCTGTAATCCCAGCTACTCACTCGGGAGGCTGAGGCAGGAGAATCACTTGCACCTGGGATGCGCACGTTGCCTGGGTGACAAGAGCGAGACTCTGTCTTAAAAAACTTATATGGTAAATTCTTGTCCTAAAATAAATTAATTGGCTGTTTAAAGAAAGGGATGTTTACAACAAGTCAGAAAGTTGAAGACTGTCTGTGAAAGTCATGAAAAATGATATAAAAGGAAATTTATGCAAGAATTGTTGTATAATTTAAAAGTAATTAGGCCTCCTGAATATAAAACTATTGAAAAAAGAGTTTATGTGAAAGGTGTGTAAGGAGAGTAAAATATACTTTTGGTAAAAAAAAAAAAAAAAAAAGTTTCCGCCATGGCAGTCATTGGAGCGCAGCAGCCATGGCTGTTCACTACCCTCTGGCTGAGGGCCTCAATAAGGGCCACAAGGTGACCAAGAACCTGAGCAAGCCCAGGCACTGCCGCGGCTGCAGGCATCTGACCCAACACGCTAAGTTCCTGCGGGACATGATCCGGGAGGTGTGTGGCTTTGCCCCATACAAGCGGCATGCCATGGAGTTACTGAAGGTCTCCAAGGACAAACGGGCCCTCAAGTTCATCAAGAAAAGGGTGGGGACACACATCCACGCCAAGAGGAAGCAGGAGGAGCTGAGCAATGTCCTGGCCACCGTGAGGAAAGCCGCTGCCAATATAGACTGAGGCCCCTCCCCAACCTCTCCCTGAAGTAAAGAACAGCTTGACCCAATTAAAGAAAAAACCCTAATCCCAGCACTTTGGGAGGCCGAGGCGGGCAGATGCAAGGTCAAGAAATCAAGACCCTCCTGGCCAACATGGTGAAACCCCATCTCTACTAAAAATACAAAAATTAGCTGGGCGTGATGGTGTGCGCCTGTAGTGCCAGCTACTGGGGAGACTGAGGCAGAAGAATTGCCTGAACCAAGGAGGCGGAGGTTGCAGTGAATTGAGATTGCGCCATTGTACTCCAGCCTGGCGCCTGGCGACAGAGCAAGATTCTGTCTCAAAAAACAAACAAACAAACAAAAACTCACATAAAATGTGGATTTCTACCGACATTTAAAAAATAAAAATAAAAATAAAAATTTTGTTTTGAAGGCCTAAGTTTTAAAATGTTAATTATAAAGGAAATTCTGTGTGTAAACATACTGGCTAATGTTAAAGGGATATCATCGAGTTTTTCTTTTTCTTTTTTTTAAATTAAAAGACAGATTTAAAGTTGAAATCCGCTCCATACTCACCAGTCTAATGACTGAATTTCCTCTCCCAGCCTATGCACCAAAATGCTAGGGCTCCAATGAATGGAGAACACCAGGGTTCCTGGTCCTCGTGCTGGTTTAGATAAAACTACACGGACACACGTGGAGTGGTTTGAAGGAGCAGAGCCTTTAATAGGCAAGAAAGAAAAGAGAAGGCAGAAGGCAAAGGCTCCTCCATACAGAGACAGAGGGAGGGGGGTGCTCCAAAGCCAAAAGAAGAAGTCCCCCGTAAATAATAGAAATTTAAGGCTGGCTGCAGTGGCTCACACCTGTAATCCCAACAGTTTGGGAAGCTGAGGTGAGTGACTCACCTGAGGTCAGGAGTTTGAGACCAGCCTGACCAACACGGCAACACCCTGTCCTTACTAAAAATATAAAATAGCCGCATGCCTGTAATCTCAGCTACTCAGGGAGCTGAGGCAGAAAAATCGCCTGAGCCAGGGAGGCAGAGGTTGCAGTCAGCCAGCCAGCCTCAGACTGTGTCTCAATAAATAAATAAATAAAAATAGAAATTTATTTCTCATAATTCTGGAGGTTGGAAAGTTGAAGATCAAGGCACCAGCAGATTTGGTGTCTGGTGATGGCTTGCTCTCTGTTTCATCAATGGCACCTCTTTGCTACATCCTCACATGGTGGAAGAAGGGCAAACGGCACTAAGAGACTCCCTCAAACCATTCTATAACACTAATTCCTCATGGATGGGATCAGTCATGACCCAACCACCTCGTAAAGGCCCCACCCCTTAATACTATTGCATTGGGGATTTTCAATATGAATTTTGGAGGGACACAAGCATTCAAACTGTATCAAAACCATCAAAACAATTTTGAAACAGCATTTTAACCTGTTTTAAATTTCCTTCACTTAATGTATATTAATATATATATATCCTGAAATATATCTCTTGATATATATATCGAGATATATATTAAGTGAAGGAAATTTAAAACAGGTTAAAATGCTGTTAAGATATATATATATATATATCCTGAAATATATCTCTTTCCATATCACATAGTGTCCAACAATTTCTTATGGCTAATGGTCCATGGAGAGTAAAAACAAAGCTAGTTCTTTTGTTTTGTTTTTTTTTTTTGAAACAGAGTCTCACTCTGTTGCCCAGGCTGGAGTGCAGTGGTGCAATCTTGGCTCACTGCAACCTCCACCTCCTGCGTTTGAGCAATTCTCCTGCCTCAGCCTTCCAAGTAGCTGAGATTACAGGTGTGCGCCACCATGCCTGGCTATTTCTGTATTTTTTAATAGAGATAGGGTTTTGTCATGTTGGCCAGGCTGGTCTCAAACTTCTGACCTCAAGTGATCTGCCTGCCTTGGTCTCGCAAAGTGCTGGGATTACAGGTGGGAGCCATTGGTCTCAGCCAAGTCTAGTTCTTTTGAGTTGTTTGCTAATCATCAATAGTCACTGTTTTAGGGTAGTGGAATTATGGGTGACAATTTTTTTGTTTGTTTGTTTGTTTTGAGACGGAGTTTTGCTCTTGCTACCCAGGCTGGAGTGCAATGGCGCGATCTCGGCTCACCGCAACCTCCGCCTCCTGGGTTCAGGCAATTCTCCTGCCTCAGCCTCCTGAGTAGCTGGGATTACAGGCATGCGCTACCATGCCCAGCTAATTTTTTGTATTTTTAGTAGAGACAGGGTTTCACCCTGTTGACCAGGATGATCTCGATCTCTTGATCTCGTGATCCACCCACCTCGGCCTCCCAAAGTGCTGGGATTACAGGCTTGAGCCACTGTGCCCAGCCGGGTGACAATTTTTTACTCTCACTTTTCTGAAAAAGAGATTAAATGGTTTTGGAACTTAAAAAGAACTTGCTATATCATCTTTATATAAGTCCACTAGGCAGAGATTTTTTTTTAAGCACCTGCATTATATAAGGCCCTATGGAGGAAGCAAAGATGAATGAACCTCTATCCCTAAAGAAGAGGAAAATACAGAAGGAATGCACATGAGGGAAGGCCTGATTGATTGTGAACTGAGGGGTGTATGGTTCTCTTTGCTTGATCTCAGCTAATGTAAAGATAAATCTCTGTATGATATTTAGATGTCATCAAAGTTGGATCTGTAAATGTGCTGAGCCTGAGTACAGTTTCCATCCACTTGTATTAAGATAAAATGTGAACCTACCAGTAAGTCATGTAGCTGCACACTCCCGCCACATGGTGACGGCATACCTAAGTGGAAGGAGCAGCTCCTGGTGTAACAAGTCCCTGCAGGACTGAAGCTAGCTAGGGAAAAGAAGCAACAATTATATCACCGTAGGAAACAAACACCTTTACAAGTGTGGCCACGGTTTAAGATGGCTGTCAGCAGAGTCCTGGAAGCACTTTCTTATTCTTATTGTCCCACCACTTCAGTTGTCCCTACACAAGTCTCTACCCACAGTTCCCCTTTAAGAACACTTTATTACAATTATTTTATTTCATTTGTTGTCTTACTTGCCACCCTAGCGTTCTCACCATCAGAGACCACTGCAAGCTTTCTGTCCTTCAGTCCTTTAATTTCATTTCCAGACTGTCCTTCCTCTTTTCCTCCCCTTCTCTATGAGAATGTTTTCCAGGTCAAATGCAAATTCCTTAGCCATCCTGCTGAATATTATTTTCCTCCACTCCAAAGCTCTTATGATGATAAACTTATTGTCATGAATACGAATTTGTAATTACATCCAGTAACCTCATGACATTGGTTCCGTTACTGATACGTGCTGTTTATTCATTCATTCCACAAAGCACTGTGTCAGCAAAGTGCCAAGGAGCTGGGAACATAGAATGAACAAGAAGATTCCTGGACTTTGAGGTGCTCACCATCTGGTGATAGATGACAAACAGTTATAAAATGATGTGATGAGGCCGGGCACGGTGGCTCACGCCTGTAATCCCAGCACTTTGGGAGGCCAAGGCAGGTGGATCACGAGGTCAAGAGATCGAG